TTGAATAGACTTTAAATCTGATATGTTTGATGTGACCGTGTGATTTAAAATGTAGGGTCATTAATTCCAAAGTTTCCTTACCTTTGTTATGCCCCACTATTACTTTTAAATTGTGCTACATTTTTTTAGATGAAGCAATACTCATGTTACACACTGAGAATGGTAATTGAAATTTTATTATGGGTCCTTAGAAAGTCAGGCAAGTTTTTGAGTGTTTTTAACTATACATTTACAATTTTAGGTGATGCAGAGTGATTGCATATACCGTAAAACTTCAATTAAACGCCCAGTCCCTTTTACTAGCCTGGTGTAGCTACACTTTTTGACAAAGAAAGGCCTGTCTTTATTAGACGCCTGGTCTGGTTGCCAAGCAGTTCATTTATTATAGAAGTTCTTTAGATGTATAAAACCAGATTGTTGACTACCCTCTTGAGCTAACGTTAGTTCACTGTGAAGATCACTGATACAAATATAAATATTCAAAATTTTGTCAGTATGGAGATGCAACACATCGTTAGCTCAGTACAGTTCATTTTACTGAGACCATGAGCATCAGAGATGACTGTAATTCATTCAGGTTTATCAGCATGATGAAAACAAGTGGTGACTCCCTTCCTCTGAAGCTGTCATAAAGTCAGAATGTGTCTGCTCCTCGATTACCCAGTAAGGTATATTCCTTTAGTCCATAAGGGTCCAACAATCACAAGAATTAAAGGGGTTTTTCATAAAACTTAATCCAAGTTATGAATATAATTTTAACAGGGAAAAGTTGTGTTGTGGCAGTGTGCTGGGTGCTGTAATCCTCAGGTGCCATGAAACAAGTGTCACAACATAACACATAAATGGTAGGCTATTTTATTCAAAGCCTAATTTTCTACAAACAATCTGATCGTATTTTCTCTTTGCTGAGCAACAGTTTTCTGTAAAATGAATTAAAGGCCTGTGCCAAATATAGGCCTGCTGAGGTAAGTAACTTAAACAAATAACATCCTGGGCTACTAATTGAAGTTTTACGGTAATTAACAGTTTAAGTCCTGGTTTCAGAGGCTGATTCCTAATGTCTCTTTGAAATATACAATTCAGTAACTAGTGTCTCCCAAATCTCAAGCTGAAAACTTGACTCTAGTGAGTTCAGTTCACTCAGGACTCAATAAATGTGTCCTTCACACCACCAGGTGGGGCTGTTATGCTGCTTCACAGGATCAGACACTGGACAGACTATAAATTCAGTGGGACGGACGGGCACCGAGCTGTTCGCAGATGAGCCCTTAATTTGGTCCAAATGCGTGTAAAGTGACAGTTATAATGTCAAGTAATTACAATACTGTTAAAAAGAGAAAGGGAGAAGTCAGCCACGCAGAAAAACATTCTAAAAGCTCACCTGTCAGCCCTGTGAAATAAGATTTGAACATGTTTCCATCAGTCCACCAAAGGAAAATGGGCTTGTTTGATTCCTGTATCACAGCACAGGCGTCAATGGTTTCAACTTTAAGGACTTAGGATCAAAATCTTTTGATAATGTGTCAGTGAATATGATTATTTCTGATAGATTTAACTCCAAGGATTTTAGAAATATTATACTCCCAGCAGCAAAAAAGACAAACAATGCTTATGAGATAGCCTATAAAAAGCCTTACAGATCCTCTATGTAAATTCTTGCGCATCATCTATTGGCTGAAAATATTCGGGAGCACATAAAACGATGATTTTGACTTCAAAGAAAACACCAGAACAAATTTGGTTAGTGTGCGCTTTCTTTGGCCGCTCCAATCATCGCCAGGCACCTTTCTCTCTCTCTGATCTTCACACGGCGGCGCCCCATATCTCCACAAGGCCATGGCCTAATTGATTTTTATTTTCATTCAATATTCCCCTGGAGCTCGCTTTCTTGTCAGCCCGCTGGAACAAAACTTTAAAAAGGGAGGAGAGAGAAAAAAAACTCGTCTCCTCTCTCTGCGGGGAAGCACAAAAGTCTGCAGAGAAGGGCCCGAAAAGAAGCTCCTCTCTTTGAGGCTACCGAAAGGTCAAAATAATAAATGTAGACTCAATTGAGGCTCTCTACACAGACAAAGGGGGCAAAACGTTACATTTTGGCAGCGCAGACCCTCATAGCGTGATAAACTCATTTAAAGAAGGCGAAATAAAGAGGGAGCAGCATGGGTCCGGAGAGGGAGAAAAGGGCTTTCAGTCCGGCAGACAGGCCTGGCTCCTGCAAGGGCCTTTTCTCCTGCACAGCAGCAGACTCCCATCCCTCTCCAAAAATCACTCTCATATTCCTAAACTGTACTGCCTCAGTCCTGTTGGTGACTTTATCTGGTTTTATGTTTTTCACTTTTATATTTTCATAGATAAATGCATGCACTCTAAAAATTATTTGCACAACTTGAAGCAAAGGTGACCAAAAACTGCTTTAAAGAAAAGAAAGCAAATAGGCTACTTACCCGTTTCCATAGGAACCTACTTAAAAACTTATAAGATTTAATGTGATGTGGGCTCACTTTGTCCTGCACGATTAGCACAAAACTATGTCAGAGTTTGGCATTATCCACAAAACATCTCATGTCTTATAGGTGAATATTACAGGGATAAAGTCAGACATTGTAGGTCTGGAATGAAGAAATATTACGAGCATATATAGGCTAGATATCTAATATTTGCAGATTAAAAACACTCAATAAAGTACCAACACGTTTCCCCTGTTCATTATCAACAGCAGCTGTATAAGGGTTGTAAAGTCACTATATAAGCCACAAGCCTGCAGTGCTCAATGCCGTAACTTGATTTTTATGATAGCCTGTTTTTATATGCAGATTTTTTTTTTTTTTTTCTCACAGAGCCAGGATCTGCGGTCATGGAAAGGATTCCTCAGCATTTTTCTGCCATCCAGCTGAGAGTTTCTCTGGCTCAGATGAAACAGGCCGGGTGGAGTGGTTTTCATCTGACAAATATTTTCATTATCTCACATTCTTGGCACCAGAGACCGTGTCGGAATAACACATTCACCGATGTCTGCTTTGAATTATGCCCACCCAAGGCTGTCAGGAACAACACAGACCGAAGATTAACCGACCCTGAGGTCTGAGGACTAATGGCACTTTACCCTGTTTTATAACGAGAAGAGACAGGCTGTAGCAATGTCATTAGATAACTTGTACTTAGGGACTGTTCGTTAGTTATATGAGGAGGGAGGGGTGGTACAAAAAGGGGAGGTATGTCAAATGTTTTTTAAGCACTGGGGAGGGAGGTTTTATTTTGGTGTAGGGGTGGGGCATACAAATCTAAATGGCTGTCTTTTGTATTTATTTTACAGGTGATTTTTAAAGAAAAAATGCCTGTTAAAAAATCTAAGACTCACCAAAATTACACCATTCATCATAGGCAGAAACTGTAAAAACAGAAATAATCATTGGATTTTCAAATTTCCAGTGGGCCTTGATTACATCATGTGCAATGATTGCTTTTGTCAGAAGAAAATATATATAAAAGCATCTGAAGCTCAAATAAAGATATTTCATCAAAAAGCACTTATTTGGCAAAAATAAATCCCAAATAAAACCCATGCTTGAACTACCCAGCATGCACAGTGTAAGCGAAAAAAACGCGTCATTTTTCAACTGGATTTTTAACTTTTAAACATCAAAGGGTAAGTTTTTTAAATCCCTATTTTTTTTCTTTTTTTTTTCTTTGGGGCGGGGGGGGGGGGGGGCACTCAGAAAGGCTCAAGGAAAAATATTTGTAGCTTTAGAGAGGGTGAAAAATAAATAAATATTTTTATTTATCAATCAAGAATCAAAGCCTCTGTTCTATCAAGAACAGAGGCCAGTTGCACAAAGCACCTTAACTTTGCTTCTTAAGTGTGACACTTAAGGCTTGCATTAAATACCTCTCCAATAACTGACTGTAAAGATCTTGTTGCATAAAACTACAGAGCATCATTTTTGTAAAGGGGCTGGAGCACAGCTTTTGAAAGTTGAGTGATCCAACCCCAGACAGTCACAATCATGAATTGACTTCTGGTAGAATTTAAAGTACAAAATCATTTGCTCACCATTAAGTGTGTCCATCAGGTTCTCTCAGTCACAAAACACTCTTCTCAGGATGCCTTCATTGTTCCCATTTATATTAAACTCAACCATTTTGTGGTTAAGATGGAGCCAGAGGTACTTTATGTTTTTGGTCTGACTTTGCCTAAGGTTCTTTGCTTAACAAACTTTAAGCAGTTCCTTAAGTAGCCTATAACACCAAGATAAGAAGAAAAACCTTAATCCTTAAGTAGACATTTTAAGGAAACATTAAGGAGAAGACTTGAGGATGTTTTGTGCAACAGTTTTATTTGGTTTGTTTTGGAGGTTTTTATGTTGTTTTTTTTCCCAAGTAAACCTTATCTGGAACTTTAAGGAAAATCTTAACTTAAGGTGCTTTGTCCAACAGGCCCCAGTCCCTTAGCTGCAAAAGTCACTGCACATTTTTGGGAATAACTAATTAAAAGTATAACATAAATATTAGCCATACATTTCATATTGCATGTAGGCGAACATTTGTGGTGCACAACTGCCTTTTTCACAATGCTATTTAGGCCTACATGTTATTAACATAATTAAAATAGATAATGATATCGCTATTTATTTATTTATTTATTTATGTCAAAAACTAAGATAAATAATGTGTTTGATGATGTTTTGAACTTATAATATTTAGATTTCAAGTTTGTGAAAGGTACTCCACCTCCAACCAATCAAATTAGAGTCCCTGATCACATGACGCATATCCTGGTCCTCGCGTCTACAAAGACCAGGGATGTAAATAACAAGATAGTTAAGTTGTCCGCAAACGTTTCAGTTTGGTAAACCGAAACATAAAATAGTGTAATATTTGCCTTGACGACCAACAGGGGATACCACCGCGACACACATGTGTGACTAGCAACGCGCTAAACTGCTTTTGTTATTTTATTAGTACGTTATTTTAGTCGGTTAGCACGTCTGGCGGATGTAAACGAAACCGGAAGTAAGCTGGAGTGACTCCTCTCGTTTCGCTCTTTCCCTTGTTGAAGGCTGCCAGTATGGTCGTGCTGAGAGGAATCCCCTCTGTTATTTCACCTGAGCTGCTGTATGCTCTCGCTAAAATGGGCCACGGGGATGAACTGGGTATGATACTTAATAACATACTTTATTTCTTGTGGGCTATGCTAGCAGTGTTAGCCTGTAACGTGTGTACAGTCACTGTAGGGTAGTAGGCTAAGTTCAAGTCAACAGCAGTGTAAATAGTGACAGAGCAGACTCACAGGATCATTAACCTGCATAGCTGGAAAGGGCACAAATATAAGATGTAGTTCATTCGGTGTTTTTCTTTTTTTTCCAGTTCTTGCTGATGCAAACTTTCCAGCATCTTCCATTTGTGCTTGTGGTCCTAAAGAGATAAGAGCTGATGGTATGTAAACACATCTATCTGTGAATGAAAATGTTTTTTGAATAGATGTATTTATATCTGTGTCTTACCTTTATGTAGGTTTGGGAATCCCACAGCTTTTGGAGGCCATTTTGAAGCTGTTGCCCTTGGATACCTACGTCCCTTCTCCGGTACAGGACCCATAAAGCGAAAGTTAAAACCACTGAGTGATGTCTTGGGTAAAAAAAAAAAAATCATTTGTTGAATCTGCTTATGTTTCCACAGGCCACAGTCATGGATCTGGTGGACAGTGACAAACAGAGACGTTTACCTGTCCCTGTGTGGGACACCTACACACAGCTCCTGGGTCAGGCTGGGTCTCAGGTAAACCAGATTTCAGTGAGTAACATTAAATAACTTCCTTTGATTTTTGACTAATTTGTGTTGATTTCTGTTGCATGTAGGCTCCTCTTGAAAAGGTGGAGAGGTTTGCTTTCTATGAACGTGCCAAGAAAGCTTACGCTGTTGTGGCAACAGGGTGTGTATTTACTCTGTCTTCATCTGGTTATTGTAGCTGCATGTTTCATTCTGTGTCTGCTAAATGAGCACAGCAGCATGTGTCTCTTTGGTCCAGTGTGTAGGATTTTGGGGCATCTGTCAGCAGAAATGAAATATAATAAGCATGTTTATTTATGTTTATGTTTATGTTGTTTAAATAGGCTGTTTATATCTACATAGGGAACAGGCCCTTGTCCACGGAGTCCAGCATGTTGCACCACCATGTTTCTAAAGTAGCCCAGAACAGACAAACCAAACACTGGCTCTCGATAGGGCCATTCAGGGTTTCATGTCGGGCTCAGTAGTTTTCCTACATGCTTGGCACACATGAGAAGTTTCACTTGGTTGCGGTCTGCAACCTCACTGCTAGATGCCATTGAATCCTACACACTAGACCTTTAAGAAAAAATACAGAATGCTCTACGAAAGTCTCATTATTTCAAACATGTCTTTTAAATGAAGCTGGTGAATTTAAATACTGTCCTCTGCTCTGTCTACGCAGGGAAACAGCTCTGTATGGTAACCTGATACTGAAGAAGGGGGTCATTCCTGCTGAGCTGCTACAATGACACACACACACACATTAAAGTAATTAAAATCTAATGATTTTAGTCACAGCTGTACTAATATTTTTCCATACAATCAATTTTCAATGGTATTCAGTTTCCACCAGAAGCTGTGAGTTGAAAATATAATTTAGTGTTTTTCATGTTAAATAAAAGGTGCTGTGTGTAGGATTTAGTAGCATTTAGCGAGGATTGCAGATTGCAACCAGCTGAAACCTCAATTGTGTGTCAGACGTGAACCCCAACTTAGAATTCCTTCAGTGTTAATTGTTCCGGATGTTTTTCCCGGGAGCAGAATCATCTGCACAGGTCTCCTCATCTCCAAAACAAACAGATCAGGTGATTTTTTAAACTGGTAAAAACACTGAATAAAACAGTTTCCCGTCACAAATTAACATTTCTCAGACACTGTTTGGCATGTGTGGAGACAGGCCACTAGCCCAGCACCTGCTAATGTGTGCTCACCTTTTTTCTCTGATGACTTATGATCCAGACATTTAGGAGGTTTTTACTGGGAGCTGAAATATCTGCAGAGGTCTCTTACCCTCCAAAACAAACACACCCAGTCATTTCAACTGGTAAAAACACAGAGTAAAGCAATTTACCATTACAAATCAGTCAGTCGAGTGTCAGTTCTGGGCTAGTGTAGAAACACAGCGGAGCAACATGGTGATCTCTATGGACAAGGACAAGGATCTGCTTCCTGTGCAGATAAAAACAGCTCATTCAGAGCTAACAAAAACACAACAATTGTTATTTTCAGGTGGTTATACACAAAAGAAAAAATACTTATTTTCCATTTTATTATCTTCCATTTCTGACAGTATATCCTCCTAAATCCTACACACTGAACCTTTAATACTGTAAATATGACCTGATTATTCTCCAGTTTACATGGAGCAGAAATACTTTATTGCTTTTGTAACTAACATCTGTTTTGTACATACATTTCAATAAATAAAACACACAAAGTCTTTGATCAGTGTTTAAAGTATATTTATCATCAAGACACATTTGAGTGACACTAAGATTTAGATGTGTTCACAGTTTGATGAACTCAAATGACACTTGTGATTTATTAACCTGTGTATCAGCTGGGGGTGGGAATTATATTATTGCAATTTTAAATATGTTGTGATCTGCTGAGTATTGCAATAAAATATATTGCGATGTATTACCCTTTTCAATTGTAAATTATGTCCCCAAAGAAAAACTTTGTTAACATCTGTATTATCTAATAAGATGATGTCTGTTCATCTCACTTCAGCCATTTTTTGCAGCAGCAAAACGTTATCTATTGGACTGAAGAAGAAGTTGATTATATTATTTTAGTAGGCTACCCAAAGTTTAATTTGTATTTGTAAAATTAACAATTTATATAATTAAAAATCGATACGATGCGATATTGCCACACAAAAAAATATCGCGATACTGTGCCGTATCGTTTTTTTTCTCCCACCCCTAGTATCAGGTTATGTTTGTGTCTGATTTGAAATGATAAGCATTAACACAGGTTGAGCTGTTGAAGGGTTATGGGTGGTAGAGATGGTCCAGGTCTTCCTCTGGCTCGCTGTGTTTCCTCTCAGACGGCAAATAAACAGGAGCGGCAGCCTCATGGTCAGGGATGAGCTCTGGGAGATCTCGGTGGTACACGTCGTCCATGTCTTCCTCTGGTTGAAGGTGAAGTCTCGCCTTACTTTCAGCCAAGACCTCAGGTCTCAGTGGCTCCATCTGCACAGGTGAACCCTGGTCATCGTGGTGATACAGCGCGTCCTCATCCTTCTCTGGTTCAGAGTGTGAAATGAGGCTCTCTGCTTCAGCTTTGTATTCAGCCCGTAGTGGAGCCAGATATCCATCCAGCTGCTCCCTCGCTTTGTGGTAGACTTCATCCCAGTCTTGCTCAGGCTCGTTCAGCGCCACCTCACTAAAACCAGGGTGGTCGATGTCATCTTTGTCCTCCTCTGGTTCCTGATTGGACTTCACGTCAGCATCTTCCTGCCAGGGCTGTGCCTGGATGTCGGCAGCAGGGAGAGTATCCAGGTTTTGGATTTGAACTTTGAGAAGATCCGCCATTGAAGGATGGTGCAGCTCATCCAAGTCTTCTTCAGCCCTCAGGGGCTGTTTGTCCCGTCCTGTGCCTGCCATGCTCTTCCAAATCATCATGCTAGGGTCGATGTCATAGTCAGTCTCGTCCATGTCCTGTGGAGGCTCCACTTCAACTCCCCAGGACATCCTTCCTTTGTCATCTATGGATCTGAGATAGATATCATGCATGTCAGTCTGCATTCCCTCAATCCAAGAGACAAGTATTCACTTTAGGTTTAGTTTAAGGAAATTACAACTTACACAACAGTATCCTGGAAGGCTTCATCTGTGAGTTTATTCTGAAGAAAGCACAAATGTTACATACATATAAACATTTGTCATTTTAAATTCACCAGGAATAATTTATCATATATATGATTTAGAGCTGGAGAGTAATATTGCGGACAGCCAGGAGCAATACATACCCATGGTTTGTATGGCTTCGCTGTGATACCGAGTATCAGAGACGCACAGACTACCAGAGAAAACCTATGAGTGAAGGGAATCTGGATTAATGCTCAGATTTTACATGTGTTACAGACATTACACGACAGATCCTCGTCCAGACAAAGAAACTAACCATGCTGTCCACACACTGTTAAACATTAAAATCAAGTTAACGACCTCGGTAATCAGAGTCAGAAAGAAGAGATCTGTTTTCTTACCTTAACATGTTTGCTCTCATCTCGACGTTTTGGATCTGAACAGGAGATTTTCACTTCACGTTCTGTTGGAGATAAAGGACCAAAGTTCCACTAATAAACCAGTTATATTTTCTTGACCTTTGTATCGTCTGAATACAAGAACGTCAGCTGTAAGTAATTCATTGCCTTCAGCAAGGCAATCGTGTCTCTGTGCCAACGGCTGATTACAGCTAAACTCCTCATGCTGTCATCAGGTCTAATAGGTGTAAATGTACTGCATTTGTATCTGTCCTGAATAAGATTTTTAGCCTATTGTTGTGATTAAAATGTAACTTGTTTCAGGGGCAACCTCTAGCTCATGTAAACTGAGTCCTTGCAGTGGCTTGGGTTCGTTTCCAACCTGTGGCCCTTTACTGTGTGTCATCCCCCTTCTCTCTGCTGTCCTGTCATTCTCAAACTGTCCTATAATAAAGGCAAATAGCCCAAAAAATGATCTTTAAACATCTGTTTTCTTGCCTGCAAAAACAATTTAATCTTATACTGATCTCATACACTTGTTACCGGTCTTACAACTACATTAATCTTCTTGTCAGCAATCAGTAATCACATGGTTATAATACCCTCTGGCCTAAAAGCTGAGGTTGAGATATTTTGTCATGGGACAAACTTTATCTTGCACTAATAGTTTTTCTAATCTCCTTAAGGGGGTTGTTCCTATTTGGACTCAATGTAGCCGCAGTGCAGTCCAAATAACATTTATTATTATTTATTAGATACAATAAAAATTGCTTTCCGCCATTTAGCAGAGCAAGGATCGTTGGGTTCAACTTGCAACTTTATTCGTCCCCGGAGGGTGATTGGTCTTTGCAGCAAGACAGAGACACAAGATGATAAATTTACAAAAAAGCCCACATAGGGCGCATTAAAAAGGGGTGGGGGCAGGGGGCACTGAATGTTGCGGACTCGGGGAAAACAACAGTGGTCCCATGTTGACCTTCCCATTATTGTACAATTTAAATGAGAATGAGAGGCTGTATGGTGCACTCTCTTAGTTCAAGGCTACAGATTTTTCAGTTTGCAGCTGCCTTTTATTAAATCAAATAATTTACTTATTTCTAACACTGCACTGTAACCTCTGTTCATGTATTTTATGCCTGTCCTATTCTATTTTAGCTTGTTTTGAATATCTATTCTCTCTGTCTCAGTGTGTATGATTTAGGGGGGAAATTTTGTCAGAAATGAAATACAATATAATAACCATGTTTTCTTCAGTGTATAATCACCTGCACATAAAAAATGTTGTGTTTTTGTTACCATAGAAAGAGCTGTTTATATTTACACAGGGAGGGGGTCCTCATCTACGGTTATCGCCTAACGCTAACTCTAACCCATGCTTCTACTGTAGCCCAGAATGGACAAACCAAACATTGGCTCTTGATGGGATCATTCACATTTTCACATCAGCCATTGTAGTTAGCAGCCCCTGAGCACCAAGAGCAGTGTTTTTACCGGTTTTAATCACCAGGCCCATTTGTTTAAGAGAGGAAGAGACCTCTGCAGATAATTTAGCACCCACTGAGAACCTTCTGAACATCTCACCTGTTTTTTTCTGGCCCAAAAAAAGGTGAGCACATATTAAGTTATCAGAGAGAATAGGTGAGCACATATTTGCAGGTGCTGGACAAGCGGGCTATCTGCAATGTGCCTAACAGCATCAGAGAAACACTGATTTGTAACATGTTACTGCTTTACTCAGTGTTTTACAGGTGTTTATTACTATGTTCTGGAGCGGGAGAGATCTCTGAGGATAATTCTGCTCCTGGTAAAAACCTCTGAAACAATGAACACTGAAGGAATTCTAATTAGAAGTTTCAGCTGTTTGCAATTTGCAGTCCTCACCCCTAGATGCCACTAAATCTCCCCTAAGTCTTACACACTGGGCCTTTAAGGACTGTTTTTAATTGTATTTAAATTTCCTTTTATGTTTAATTTGCATTTTGTCTCAGTGTTTTTGATCTTCTGCGTAGAGCACTTTGAATTATCTTGTTACTGAAATGTGCTATATGAATAAACTTCCCATTCCTTAAGAATAATGTCTCAATCCCAATGTGATTTACCTGATTAAATGAAGGTTATAAATATAGCAATAACCTTCTTAAGTTCCTGTTGTCTATTATTGCAGGAGTTTTGACCTGACTATTAGTCATGATTTGGAGGCTTAATGTGGGTCATTCTTCATTAACAACACAAAAAGATCAAACAACTTCTGCTTTACTGTTTATTACATACAGTGACTTGTGATTTATGAATATGCTGACTGATCATTAGCATATTATTTATTCAGAAGGGGCAGTGCGCATAGAAATGTATATCATTAAGAGTTGTATGAAAAGTCCGGTCTTGTATATGTGTAATATTACCATGAAGCAGCAAAGCACATTCTCCCGTGCTTGGCTTACTTTCACAGGAACTCTCTCAGACAGACTCCCTCCTGCGAACAGCTTCAATCATTTAAAACAACTAATTACCCTTCACATACACACCCACTGAAGGAGGACAGATTGGAGGCAGATGATCAGTCTGTGATCTTATTGCCAGCCACAACGCTTACTGAAGCAACTGTTGAATGTGTCATCTCTCATCTACGTCCATGCCAAGATCCTATCACACTGTAACGCTCACTGTTTCAGGATAAACAGCTTTGTGATTGATGTACAGAATGATAATTACAACTCACTTTACAAATCCATTTTTTCTTATACGTGGCCAAGACAGAAAACTTTGAAATTACAATAAACATCTGGAAGTTGCAAAACACAGCCATAACCTGATTTAAACTAATGTAACATTACATATACACCCTTAAAGAATGTGATTTAATTTCAGATCAGTGTTTCAGCGTCTGGCGGCCCCTCCATCAATCTGCTATGATGTAGCTCATGGGAGAGTTTACTTCTTAGGAGACCGTTAGGACTGTGAGAACTCTTCTTTCGCTGTTCATACAACAGTAGGAGAGTCATTAAGTTAACATATGGGTTAATAACGTCTCATGACAACAGGATTCAGCACATACACACACACTGTACAGTACAACAGGAGCAGACAGACACGCCACACACTTCCTGTTCTGTTGAAGGGATGGCTCCACTGTGTCTGCTGGTTATCTGCCCTCTCGATCAGATCCATATGTACAAGTCCTGTGGACTAGCCCCACTCCCGGGTCAGTGAGTGGTCTACTGTCTTCTACCCCCCCCCCCCCCCCCCCCCGAAAAAGGCTCTCCCTAGGCAAGGAAATGTCAGACATCTTTAAAATGTTTGATTCTGCTTGTGTTCAGACTCCACACTTCATAGTATAGTATGTCGTCCAAAATCATGAAAATAATGTCTTAGTGTAGTATGTTGTCCAAAATCCTGAAAAAACATCATAGTAGAGTATGTCGTCCAAAATCCTGAGAAAACATCATAGTAGAGTATGTCGTCCAAAATCATGAAAAAACATCATAGTATAGTATGTTGTCCAAAATCATGAAAATAACGTCTGAGTATACTATGTCGTCCAAAATCATGAAAAAACGTCATAGTGTAGTATGTTGTCCCAAATCGTGAAAAAACGTCATAGTTGTCCAAAAGCATGAAAAAACGTCATAGTATAGCATGTTGTCCAAAGTCATGGAAAAAGGTCATAGTATCCTTTTTCCATGACTTTGGACAACATGCTATACTATGATGTTTTTTCATGCTTTTCATGTTCATGTTTCAGTTTGTCGTCCAAAAGCATGAAAAAATGTCATGTCGTCCAAAATTATGAAAAATCTTCATAGTATAGCATGTCATCCAAAATCATGAAAAATTGTCATAGCATAGTATGTTGTCCAAAATCACGAAAAAACGTCAAAGTATGTCAATCAACATCATGAAAAACATCATAGTCGTCCAAAAGCATGACAAAACGTCATAGTATATAGTATGTTGTCCAAAATCATGAAAAAACGTCACAGTACAGTATGTCGTCCAAAATCACGAAAAAAGGTCAAAGTATAGTATGTTGTCCAAAATCACGAAAAAATGTCAAAGTATGTCGTCCAAAATCATGAAAAACATCATAGTTGTCCAAAAGCATGACAAAACGTCACAGTATAGTATGTCGTCCAAAATCATGAAAAAAGTCATAGTATAGCATGTTGTCCAAAATCATGAAAAAAGTCATAGTATAGCATGTCGTCCAAAATTATGAAAAATCGTCATAGTATAGCATGTCGTCCAAAATCATGAAAAATTGTCACAGTATAGTATGTCGCCCAAAATTATGAAAAATTGTCACAGTATAGTATGTTGCCCAAAATCATGAAAAAAAGTCACAGTACAGTATGTCGTCCAAAATCACGAAAAAAGGTCAAAGTATAGTATGTTGTCCAAAATCACGAAAAAATGTCAAAGTATGTCGTCCAAAATCATGAAAAACATCATAGTTGTCCAAAAGCATGACAAAACGTCACAGTATAGTATGTCGTCCAAAATCATGAAAAAAGTCATAGTATAGCATGTTGTCCAAAATCATGAAAAAAGTCATAGTATAGCATGTCGTCCAAAATTATGAAAAATCGTCATAGTATAGCATGTCGTCCAAAATCATGAAAAATTGTCACAGTATAGTATGTCGCCCAAAATTATGAAAAATTGTCACAGTATAGTATGTTGCCCAAAATCATGAAAAAAAGTCATAGTATAGTATGTCATCCAAAATCATGTTCACTTTGGGAAATATGCTTTTCGCTTTTTTCGCTGAGAGTTAGATGATAAGAACATACCATTCAAGAGTGGTATCAATCTTCTCATCTCACTCTCAGCAGTGTATTTCACAAAATGTCAATCTAAACCTTTAAATAAGATCACTACCAGATTATAGCTGGTGACAAACTCACTGCACGCTGGCTGTTAAACTGACATTGAGGAGTATAATGTGAGCCATTATGAAAATGCTCTGTCGGTTTCCCAGAAACCACAACCCTGGGAGAAGACATCCCGCTGCACCAAGCCTTGAAAGTGAGGTTTGATGGATAAAGTGTGCTGAAGCTTCTACCAATCCACCCCCTGTGTCCTGCACACATCACTGAAACCTCTTTCATGTG